GTCAGCTAATATATTGCGCATGATTGGAGCCGAAGTCACGAACGAAAAAGGAGCCACGATGTTCATGAGCATTGCATGATCGGTGATGTGCATGCTGCATGACAGAGTGCAACGTGATCTCTTAGCACTTGTGACGTCTCCACACCGCCAAAGTGTTCTGCGTGCAAGGGAATAGACACGCCATCACTTGCCTAAGAGAATTGGGGCTTCTCTAATGATTGTGCTGAGATCTGGACTGTCGTTTGCGTGACCAAGCGTTGAAAAATATCGCTCTATTCCCCTGCACCGACAAGCGGCCGCTGTGAGTGCAAAGGCGCTGCAGCAAAGGGCGAAATTGGCTGTGTGCTATGTACCGTCGGCGTGACATATCCTGTGGTTCTGTGATTGATACAGCCACAGGTGAGCCGTTGGCAATTGTTGCCACGAGGGGTAGCAACTAGCGTAGCTTGAGTGTTGCTCTGCGGGGTAGCATAGACAAAACGGTTTCCTGATTGCGTGGAACAGATTTCCTTGCACTGCGGTGTGTGCCGACAGTGTTGGAAAAGGGTTGTCTGACGCTGCACGGTGCGCCGGCAGTGGTGATAAGGGTTGCTTGCTAGTGGGTTGCGAGGGTTTTCCGCTTCCTTCATTGTGATTGCTGCGCCGGCAACTGGGCAGGTAGCGTGGTTAGCGCCGGCGGGTAGACAGCGTTACAATTAGTGAGCATTGCCGGTTGTCATCCCCTTTCGCATGCCTTTAAAGACGAGGAACTCTCGCAAAAATAAGGGAGAAGCAATAGACGCGTCCTCTTCAACGCCGGCAGACCCAGCAAGGGACCGGTTTGAGGATGAGCCTTCGGATACTGTGAGCCCCGGTGAACAAGAAGCAGAGACCTCCAGCTCTTTTCGGCAAAGTGCCTCTTTAGGCTTAGATCAGCTTGGGATTGCGTTTTTTTCTTTGTTGACGGCAGAGATCTCTGGACAATGGAGGAGTTTGGTGCGCCGGAAGGGGCTAAGAGCTAGGAGGGCAAGTTCAACGGGTGCGATATGACCATGCTCGTCTAGGAGTTGAAGATCAAGGTCCTGAACCGCTTGGGTCCCCTCATGATCAGAAGGCTGCCAAGCAAAGGGGGTAGAAGAAAGGGGCTTTGATGAATCCACACACTAAAAATGCCTATGTAAACTTGTTTATTGGGGAGTTCACGGCTGCCAAAGCTTGGAAGGAACATGAGGAGAACTTTGAGAAGACGAGCAACGCAAGGGTTGTCCAACTTAGGAAGTGTTAAGATACGGGGTTCTTTGACGGCCAAATTGTGAAAGAAATAGGCGGAAATAGAGGGTACTTTGGCTCTATTTCCATATGTTCTAGAGTTGGAAGGTTCCAGCCTTGAGTACGCTCTAATGTCTTCTACTTGAGTCGTCCATGGAAGCGTAGGTCTGATGCATAAGGTCGGCCGTACCATTGTGAGCTTGCAAGATTGAATATCCACCGTAGGATGCGCGAAAAGTGAGCCGTAGAATTGAGTCCATTGTGAAAGGGTTCGTTTGTGATGTGTACTTCGGTGTAGCCGTTCGATGGGTTCTTTATAGGCAACGACGAATACGGACCGTCGATTGAAACACATAGGCTTGAGCTAGGCTTCAAGACTTGGACTACATGTGAAACACCCAACTCATTCATACTAAGAGATGCTTGTTGAGAGCTAGGGCGCTCCTTTTGTGAAGGCGCTTTGTGTGTGAGGGTGGTTGAATCCCTCCTAGGTTCCAAGCATGAGCGTATCATTTCAACATCGAGTGCGTTGCAAATTAAGATGAGATGGATTGAACGCTTGATTGACGGACAGCTTGAAAGGACTTGTGGGATTAGAAATCTGGAAAGGGTAGATGCAAGAGCTAAGACCGGATTTGTGTGACGTGTTCGATGGTAGTTGGTTCGAATGATCGAAGCTAGGCCGTCGATACAGTATCCACGTATCTAAGGGTTATGGTAGACTTGGAATAGGTTCGAGTAGACCTAGCTACGGGATTGGACTTGAATTAAACCATTGTCATGTGACCCGACAAGCACGCTAAAGGAAGATCATCTTGCTTCATATCCGAGCAGGCGGCTTGCAAATTCCGGTAAAGATCTTGTGCCCTTTAACACATACCAGGCAACGGACTCACGGGGTTGCCGCTTGAAGATGCTCATTTCATGCCGGGATGGAATTTTCGAGTCGCACTCTTGCTATATTGTAACTACGGATCGAGATGAAGTCACGAGTCCCGTCGTCAGGAATAGTCCAGTTTGTAGCACGCTTGGTTGAGAACGGGACTCTTGCGCGAGAATAGTCCAGTTGCTAGCGCGCTTGGTTTAAGTACAGATTTCGTGACTTCGTCACTGTCCGTATCTACAACAGATTCTGAAACCGCAAGTCTTGCTTACCTCCCGGAACATCCTTGTGAGGTGGAGTAGGCTCCTAGCCGACCTTCCAAAGTAACTCGCCGAGTGAATGATCCGCCTAAACCTTTTGCCAGCAGGCGCTTCTAGCAAAATTTGAGCCTTAGCCCTTCCCTGAACATGCATCGCCAATTCCGGGCCAAGTCCTTTTCAATTGCGGCAAACCCCTGCTCTTCATCAACTGGCCTTGTGACACAATTGGGATCCTTTGGGTGCCTCAAACGTTTAAGTCTCCAAGCCGGAGCTTAGCGAACCCAAGGACAATTGGGGGCATCAAAGCGTCGGCAGACGCCAACCCCTATACCTGCCACATCTCGTCCGTCTATTAAAAGGCGAGTAAAAATCTCTTGCGGAAGACCATAGATGACTACGGGTGGTTTCCACGGTGGTATTACTCCAGTGATGCAGAATACTTTGGATGCACGCAACCTTCTCATCAATGACACTATGAGGGGGAATCTTTTATTGGATGGATGACATAAGCTTAACCGATTTCGAACATCCGCAATGGCGGGATACTTATCACCACATTGAAATGCTCGCATCCCATGGTAGTGATTTACAAGATGGGGAACAACGGTCCCTCATTTGAAGTTTGACGCGCTACCACTTGGGCTACATTGGCACGTCAGACTTGATATATGTGTAGATTGGGTTGACGCCATGGTAAGGTGAACGGCCGGCCGAGTGGGCCGAGTGACGTGGATTCGGGTCCCGATGGAACCAGCGCAAAAAGGTGCCTATATGGCGTAAAACGAGTTCTGAGGGGGGAGCGCCAGTTCGTAACGGGTCGTAATGTGTCGAGTCTCAAGGGAACGAGGTGACCGAAGCATCTAGTCAGATATGTTTTGATCTGAAATGCTACCATCTAGACTACATTCACATTCCGTCCAAGCCATTTGATCAGTTTGCAAAAGTCACTGCCAATAGGCTCAACTTTCCCCCGCAAGACGCAATCGGAGGGAAAAAAAGGGGCCTCAAACTTTTGATCGAAAGTTAATAGGGTTGCGCTCGGCGGCGCTGTAGCTTAAACACACGGTAACTTCACTCAAAGATTTGGGAAAAGCGTAAATTCCCACCGTGGCAGACCGAGATTACCATCAACGAATCTATTGCAACTTATACAGTACCTTCGACTGCTCGTACTGTAGACAATACTTAGAATCTAGCTCAGTAATCTTGGCACAACTCTCATACGAGCACAAACCCCAAAACCCTAGAGATTGCCACTTTTGACCATATTTGACTATGCAGTCGTAATATTGGATTCAGGCGGAATACTAGGCTCAGTACGCCCTAATATCTTACGTCCGATTTAGGTTGGAGGTCCGACAATCAACTATACGGTTCGTAAATTAAAGGTCGAGATTTGTTGCCTATATTGTCAGTAGGATGCACGTTCCGTGATTGGCTCAATTTGGACCAATCAAAAGTGACCGTTGAATCGAGTACCGATGGTCTAGATTGAGGCTGTCCCAATTTCGAATGCATCAAATTGAGGAAGCCGTTGGATGGGATATCGATAGATTACAATACCTGGGACCAAATTGCTTCCTATAGGAGTGGAACCAATTTCGGGAAACGGTGGATCGGAACTAAGTCTAATATACCGTAGATTCGTTGGTAGAATCGGAACCCGTGGTAGGCTAGCTAATCTCAAGACCTAGCTATGACCTTGTACAATATCACGTTTTGTGCACTTATTTCCAGTGGGTGTGTGCTTACGTGAAAGGCGCTTGCTTTCAACAGGTTATGGGCCCACAACGCTAGGGAGTGAAGGAGAGTAGTAATTCGTCGCTAACAATGCAAGGTTGGTGAAAGGTATTCTAGTGGGAGCTAAAGGAGTAAAGGAGTACTCCATCTTGCGAGGCCTGTGAAAACACCCACGGACCTCTTTCAACCGGGTGAGAATGCCAAGCAGCTTGGGACACGGAGGAAAAGACCTACAACAACAAGAGTGCGACTCGGAAGTTGCAACTCCGGCATGAGATGAGCACCTTCAAGATGCCGTCCGGTGAGTCCGTTGCCGGTATGTGGAAAGGGCACAGAACCTTTACCGAATATTTGCTAGCTGTTGGCTCTAACATGAAGCCGAAAGATCTATCCTTTAGCGTGCGTGCCGGGTTCTCAAGCCGGTTTGAACACAAGGTAACGGTGTTACAACCATCGAGGAGGAGCTAGACAAGGTGGAGGAGCTTGTTTCCACGTTGCAAGTGTTTGAGCAAAGGCATGGGCTGTCTGGGGAGCCAAGACAGCGGGGCCTCGGGCTCGGCAACGGTGTTGGCCTTCGCGGTCAAGGGTGGCTCGGGGAAGGCTTCTCCGACTTGCCACAAGTGTGTTAAGTTGGGGCACTTTGAAAGAGAGTGCCACTCCGCGTCTCGGGGGCCCATAAGCCCATGTCGGGCAAGAAGTGCTACATTCGCGATAGCCTGGATCACCTCAAGAGGGATTGCTCAAAGAAGGAGGCAACCGGGGGGCAACAAGGAGTTGCTTTTGTAGCCGAGGTACGAGCGGAGACTAGAAGGTGGATTGACTTTGGAGCTAGCCAACACATGACGGGGTCAAGAGCTCGTTCTGTTCAAATGCTGGAGTTGCTTGAGTCGAGGACCCCTGCAATCAAGGTTGGAAACAAGGGGTTCCTCGAGGTAGCCGGGGTTGGCACCGTGGAGGTGCGGTGCGAGGCTCCAACCGATGAGCGAGTTAACCTTCTCTGGAAGGTGGCGTTTATTCCCGGTGTTAAGAAGACCTCTTCTCGGTGATTGAGGCGACTGCGGTGGGGGCCGTGTTCTGTTCCGCGGGGAAGTTTGCGAAGTGTTTATGGATGAAAAAGTCATCCTTTAGGCGGAGAAAAACGCGAAGGGCATATCGGTGGTTTGCCAACCGAAAGGCAACGTGGGAGGGGACGTGTTTGCTCGTGAGGGATGCCGAGAGCCCGGTGTTGTGGCACCGGAGTTTAGGGCACGCCGGCTATGAAAGCTTGGCCAAGATGGTCGAGGGCCCGGGGTTGGTTCGGGGAGTGGGAGTTTCAGAATTTTTCATCTTAATTTGCCAAGCCCTCAATCCCTTCTCTCTTAATCTGCCAAGCCTTCAACTTCTTTCATCTTAATGTGTCAAGCCCTCACTCTCTTTCATCTTAATCTTACAAGTAGTTATTCTCTTTGTCCTTAATGTCCACAATCTAGCCGTCAACCAACGTTAATCTCAGCACAAGCTGGGTAAGCAGATTTGGGAGCCGTTCCCCAAGGAGTTGGACTCCAAGGAAAGTACGGAGCTCCTCGAGCTCGTGCACATGGACGTGTGCGGGCCCATGCCGGTGACGTCAAAGGGGGGCAGTAGGTACTTGCCCACTTTCCTCGACGACTATAGCAAGTTTTCGATGGTGCAACCGATGAAACGGAAAAGCGACGTCACGGCGGTCACGGAGGGCGTGTTTGCCCGTTTGAGATTGCAAGTCGGAAAAAAGTCAAGGCAGTGCAAACGGACCGGAATGGGGATCACGTTAAGGCGGGAATGACGGCCAGCCTCGGAAAGAAAGGGATGGTGCACCGGACCGCGGCGTGGCACTCTCCCAAAACAAAACGGTTCGGCGGAATGGTTGAACCATACGCTCGAGAAAAGAGCGTGGGCTTTGCTAGAAGACGCCGGATTGGGGCCGGAGTTGTGGGCGGAAGCGATGATTACCGCTGACTACATCCGGAACCGGATTCCCTCAAGTGTGCATGGCAAGACTCCGTGGGAGATGTATTATTGGGAGAAGCCGAACCTTAGCCACTTGCGGATGTTTTGGGCGCGGACCTACATCCACGTGACCAAGGGAAACCGGAAGAAGATGGAGCCGGTGAGCGAGAGGGGGTATTTTCGAAACTGGCGACAAATGTGTTCACTTAGGGCCGCGTTCACTTGAAAACAGGTCCCGGGGACGGGTAGGGTTGGTTTGGAAGTTAAGGTGGGTATGGGTGCGGAGCGTGTAATCTGGTTACTTTAGACTTTTAGTTTGTTTTTGCCCCGGGCGGATACTTAAGTGAACACAAGCTGAGGTGAACACAGATGTCGCCAGTATGTATTTTCGGGCTACGAGCCCAGGTGCAAATCGTACCGGGTCCTCCACAAGCGGGAGAGAAGGGTTTTGACTTCCCATACGTCATCGTCGATGAGGGCGGGTCCTCCGTGATCGTTGAGCTTGGCTCTAGGGAAGGCGAAGGGGGGTGCTCGCGGCGCTAGTCGTCTGTGCCCCCCGACTTGGATGGATGTAGGGGCTACTTCTACAGGGGGCCGACACTCAGCCCGGCTACTCCTACGGGGAAGGCCGACACCGGGAGCGAGGATGCCGTTTAGAAAGACGGCGCTCAAGAGGAGACGGTGAAAAGATACCCCGCACGCGAAAGGCGAGGGTCCGGGAAGTGGAATGAGGCAAAGTTGGCGGCAAAAAACGGGAAAGCACTTCGAGAGAGCGGGGGAGCATCCGGAACCGCAAATGTATCAAGAAGCCGGAGAAAAGAGAGCGAGCTTTGGCGGCGTCTGAGATGCGGGCCTTGTTGGAGAAGGGGACGTGGGAACTCGTCAAAAACCTGGAGGGAGTGAAGCCGATTCGCATGAAGTGGATTTACAAGATTAAGCGGGATGCGCTTAGGAACGTGGAGCGGTACAAGTCTTGGGTGACGGCGAAAGGGTATTTGCAAAAGCAAGGAAATAACTTCGAGGAAGTATACGCCGCGGTGAGCAAGCACACAACTTTGCCGGCGCTCCTAGCAGTGGTTGCGTAACGCGATTTGACGTGGCATCAATTGGACGTCAAGACGGCGTTCCTCGACGGAAAGCTCGAGGAGGAGATCTGCATGATCTCCAGCAACCGGAGGGGTACGACCCAAGGCGGGCGAAACGTGGTTTGCCACCTCAAACGCACCTTAAACGGGTTGCGCCAAGCGCCACGCGCCACGCGCTTGAGGAGAAGCTCGAAAATTTCGAGTTCGTGGCGTGGTTTCCTTTCTTGCGGATTTCACGTGTTGCCTACTCAATGGCTACAAGTGAAAGAGACCGCTTCTTTACAACGTCGTCACGACACGGAGAGCACCCTCGGCTGATCCTTCCTCCCTAGCGCCCTGGGCCTATAACCTATTGATTGAAACACAGCGCTGTTGGAGATGATGATCAATCAATCAAGTTCACACAATGTATACGGAGTGTTCCGAGTTACGGCCTATCTCTAGGTCTACACTCTAGCCTAGTATGCTCAGTGGACCGTCACCCAGTAAGTCCGAAAGTTTCACTCTATACCGTACATCGACAGCCATTACCGAACCTACACAATATCGACAATTATCGCCAAGTCATTCGGGTGCAATGCTGTAACCCGCACGCATCAAACCGTGTAACCGTAACAACTAGTTACCGTCGGATGACCGTCGACGTTGTGATACAAAAGTCCAGAGAATCGGTCTCTAAATGCTCATATCTCAACAACGTTGCAATGGGGACCGGCCTCGTTGAAGCCATCAAAGGCTGCTTCAAGGGATCACGCATTGACCCCATCAACGAGGCGGTTTTCAACGGCAAGCATGGCCCATTTCGCAGGTCTTTTGGCGCGGGCCGGCGGTGCGAAGGTAGAGGCGGGGGCGGGTTTCGAAGGAGGTGGAAGAGGAAAAGGGAGTGAGAACGACGACGACCTGGATGTTCAAATCATTCACACATGCTTGTCACAAGCTAGTCTAACCACCCTCACATAGAAGCACTTTGACAAAGAAGTGCCTTTCTCTACCCAAGCATCTCTTAAAATGAATACCGTCACATGATAATAGTCAAAAATCGCTACAGTCCCGTGGCTAGGTGTACTCTAATTTCGGCGGAATCTACTTCTACCACCCACTCGTTAGTTCAACTATACGAACTCCTTTCCATCAACCCGTCACTCTAGCACTGAAACACGACCTATTTCCACTCGGACTTGTGACTTGGGCACTATACTACCAGTGGTCGGGGTAATGTACTATTTCAGTCAAATCATATCTTACGAGCGGCAATTGGCGTCAACAAGCAATCCGACGGTCCATACTAGAACACATAATCTTTCAATTGTACGGTCGTTATTTCACGAACATACCACGATCCTACGGCCAATATAAGTCACTATTTTACGGCTCACATCTACAGAGCTCAACCCAATAATTTGGCCATTAATCAATTCCGAATCACATCTTTTAACATTGAAAGTGAGGTGGAAGAGAGAGGCGAAATTATCACGAGGAGGCCCTTGTCGTTCGAGAACCCACCTCTAGCCGAGCCCGCAGCCAAGCAGTGGGAAACGAACGAAGTGACATCTGACGGAGGCGCGACAGGCGGCTGGGGGCTGAAAGCCAAAGAGGTGTGGAGGCCCGTCGAAGAGGGGAAGATGGATGAGTGGGACCAAGCTGCATCCGAAAGAAGTTGGGGGAACGAGGGTTACGACGATGTTGGGGGGGAGTATTTCGTGCCAATAACAGAGCACGAGGAGGTGATGAAGGGCAACCACCATTGGCAGACCATGCAGTGCAAAAGGGGAGGGGCTTGTCATAGGAGTTCGGAAAATCCCCTACGAGAGGGAAGCTTGATGGATGCAATGATGTTGAGGAAGAATTTGTTAGAAAGGAAGGTTTTGATGGAGGGCAAGTTGGGCCAAAAGCACTCTTGAACGCATCGCAACGCAGTGGGGTCAAGCGGCTTGGGGACGGAAAAAGGCATTGTCAAGACGAGGAGCCTCCACGGCATAGCTGTTCGTGCGACTTTGTGCAATAAGGCAGGCTAATGTGAAAGCTTGTATTGCAACATTGATGATTAACGCATGTTCAACGAATAACTCCGTGCAGACCGAAGGCACAAAAATCCGAAGCAATGGCATTTGCATAGTGACCCGGACCCTGCCCGCAACGGTTCCGACTCCGGATCGGCGCATATGCATGATTGTACGAAAGAATATCGACAAGGTTCTTTCGAAGGTCAACTGTGCGTTGAATCCTGCGGTAACGCATCCGGTATGCAACCGCAATCAAGGGGTTCGGTTTGACCAACTCGACCGTGGATGCATTGTTGAAGTTGAACCAGGTAGGCAGTTAGACTTTTATACCAAGATACGCGGGTGGCCATTAGCGCGAACCAGCCGTAAGACAAAAGGAGGCTCGCTCAATGCCGTAGCCACGTTAGTCGATGGGACCATGTGACACATGATTATTGTAGTAGTTGCCACGGGGCACTACAGTCATTAGTCTCGAGGCTGTACTTTCGGCGTCGTAATTATCAATATCGGCACAACGGATGACACTGAATATATTGCATAGGCAGACACGTTTATTGGATGGAGTTAAAAGGACTCTTGTTGGTAAGTCCGTCCTCATTTCACATGTGACGAACTTCAAGGCAGCTCTAAAGGACCACGAGAAAACTGTATGTGCGGAAGTATAAGCTTACTTGCCTTTTTCACACAATCGCCCCATAGTAACTTGAGCAATTTGTATGCAATGTACGACCTCCCGTGATTCACATTTAGCGGAGCCAAATGCAAGTTCGCCTTTTGCCCCCATATACGTACGAAAGGAACTAGCGCGAACTGAAATTACCGTTGGACGAAAACGGGATTTTAAGGCGGAATCAACGCCACGGCTACAATATTCGTCGCACGTTGCGTTTTTCGGAGGAACCTTCGGTGCGTGACGTAAGGCACCAGTGATGCACGAGGCAACATGACTCTCAGCTGTCACGCTCCATCAAGCTCAGCTTGCCCACGGGTTTCGTCACATCCACTAACGGCGCTGATAATGCGAATGGTTGTGAAGGCTCACCTCGTTTTAATTAAGCGCAACAATGGACATTGTGTCGAGGGGTTCTCTAGCTTACCTCGGAAAAGCTACTGGAGCGGGCGACCTGTTTCTGAGGCGCCGCAATGTTCTTTTGCCGACAAGCCTTACTTAACCCTGTGTCTGACTCCCGACCGTCGGAGGCAATGCGGGCCTTCACGGATCGTACGACAGTGGTTGAATCAACGGAGGGGTT